AACAGAGAAAGAAATATGCTTGCATACAATATTTAATATAATTTAACTTTGTACCAATATACAAGAATCTATATCAATGTAATTATCTATAAATAATAACTCACAAGTATTCACTCTATTACTCACTTTTATTATTAGTGTGAGTAAACTCAGACCAACCTATTATCCGATCCAATTTTCCCTTTTTCCTTTTTTTTCTTTTTCTTTTTGAGAGATCTCTGAGCTTTTAAAATTTTCCCCCAACTCCCAATCTTATACTGATTATAATCAAACCCTAAATGATGTTCCTAACCTTGAGGACAAACTTTTTAGGGAAGTGGGAGACATCATCCTTTAGAATTACTTTCAGCTGTCATTGGGGCAACATTCTTTCTATAGTATCTTGTGAAAGTAAAATGAGGGTTAAGTTTCAAAATTAATGTCTGGTATGATTGCAAATAGTCTCTGAATATTTTGCAAAGATCTGGCTAGAATGTTGTAAAAATGTGCACCATTTCAGCTAATCAAGTTGGAACCGTCTTGTGCAGCTGGTACCCGAAACAGGTCTTATAGTAGCACTATCAGCATCATGACATGATATCAACCAGGTGGAGTTGTTGTGGGGTCTCATCTTCTTCCTGGAAACTTCAAAGATCACTGTAGGAAAATTTATTGTTCATTGTGGAAAACTTAAGAATCATTTATATAGACATATATATTTAATGAAAGGTATGATAAAGACAAAAATAGATATGAAGGAAAGTAAAATTTTTCTAATTTTTTTCTTTCTGTCCCATATCAAATGGCTCTTGACATGAGATATAAACTCTGGATTTTTTTCTTTTAACAACACACTTGGATTTTAAAAAGAACAGAACAATTGTTCAACTCTAAAACCAGCTCTATATAAATATAAATATGTATGTATGTATGTATGTATGTATTTTTGTTTTCACTGATGATATTTGATTTTTTTGATGATCCTTATTGGGTAGTTATTTTTCTATCTGTCAGTATTTAGACAGCCAGGGTCTCTTGAATTTTTGAAGGTGAGTGTTTTCCTGCAAAGACAAGAATACAAATCTGCCCACATTCTGTTTGCTTACCTTACCATCTCTATGGTTATCATCATTGTTGACGAACTGTCATTTCTCCTTTCCAAAAGGCTTCTCCTCTTTATTAATTTTGATGGTATCCATAATTTTTCTTCTCTTATGGAAACAAGAGCAAAACCTCTTTCCCAATGCAGCACATCTCCTGGCTTCCATTGTGAGGTCAGTACATCCTTGAAATAAACAAGTTGATTTAATTTAGCAGACTTTTTCATAATCCAATGTCTTTTTGTTTCTGTTGTTCCTTTTTCATTGGCATTAAGAAAATTCAAGGTCAATAAAGCATTATGTAATCTATTTTGGGGAACATTTTTACCCCTTTTTGTTTGTTTAGCATATCCTTTAGAGTTTGATTTGATCTTTCTATAACTGCTTGACCTGTAAGATTGTGTGGTATACCTGTAACATGCTTAATATTATAATAAGTGAAAAACAGTTTCATTTTCCTAGAGACATATGTTGGACCATTATCTATCTTTATTTGTGCAGGTATACCCATGTTGCCCACTGAAAGCCTGAAGAAGTGTCAAAGGTGTGGTGTACATATTTTATTTTTTCAAATTTTGCAAAGTAGAACACGTCTATCTGCCAGTTTTCATTCCTTTGAGTACCCTTTGGGTTAGTCCCTGCAGATAGCGATGTTTGGTTATAGAAAGATCAAGTAAGGCATCTCTTTACAATCTCCTTAGCTTGTTGCCATGTTATAGACAACTGTTTCTTTAAACCTTTGATATTGACTTGTTTTTTATAAAATTCTGAGGCCTGTAACATTCTACCAATCAATAATTGATCAATTTCTGCATTACCTTGTGATAGAGGACCTAGCAGACCCATATGGGATCAGATGTGTGTTATGTACATAGGATTTCAAAGCCTATTCCTGATTATGTCTTGCACCTGAATAAACAAAAAAGTCAATTTTGTATCATCTGGTATAAAATTAGTGGTTTCAATGAGTAAGATAACTCTTTTTGCACATTGTGAATCAGTAGCTATATTAAGAGGTTCTTTAAAATCCCTTAGCACCATGAGAATGCCATAGAATTCTGCCTTCTGGACAGAAGTATAAGGGCTTTTTTCTACCTTACTCAATTTTTTTGATTTGTAACCTGTCTTTCCTGATTTATTTGTATCAGTATAAAACGTACGGAGCATCATGTACAATTTGAGGAAGAATCCAAGAAGTTTTCTTTATAAGGTTAAGTCCATTGTTTTGGGATAGTTGCTATTAATTTCTCCCCTCAAATTAGCACAAACTTTTTGTCATGGCTTATTGTCTTCCCATAACTTTTTTATTTTATCAGGTGTGAAAGGCACTATGATTTTTGTCAGGTCTATACCTGCTTGTTGACAAAGTCTCAATTTACCTTTTATAATTAACTTAGAGACTTTTTTACATAATTCTTCAATTTTCTGCTTGGTTTATGTGGTAAAATGGTAAAAAATACCCATTTTAAAATAATATCTTCTCTCTGTATTAAAATTCTAGTAGGAGAAATTCTGGAAAGCAATATGACTAGAATACAACTAAGATTTGAATTCACCCTATCCACATGTGGCTACTGCAATTTCTCAACAACTGTCCATTCCTTTTCTGATTCAGCTGTTAATTCTCTGAGACTATTCAAGTCTTTATCACTATCTAAGGTTTTGTTTAAATGAAGTATTAGATCAGGTGTTATCCCAACAGCTGGTGGTAGGCTGAAAATGTCATGTAGGTCATGACCTCGTGATCATACAGATTAATAGAAATAGGTTAAATTAATATGTAGGAGATTAGCCAATAAGAAGCTAGAGCTAATGGGCCAAGTAGTGATTTAATTAATATAGTTTCTGTGTGATTATCTCAGGTATAATCTAGCTAAGCAGCCAGGACAAACAAGAGGCTCCTCTTCTTCCAACAAAAAGGTGCCTGGCCATATGGCTAAATATGGACAAGAATTATAGGTTAATTTAAGCTATAAAAGCTAGATAATAATAAGCCTGAGTTAATAGGCTAAACAGTTTATAATTAATATAGTCCTCTGTGTGTTTCTTTTGGAATGAATGGCTATGGGACCCAATGGGACAGAAACTTCTGTCCACAAACATTTATGCATAAAATTAAACACTTTCATTTAGGATTTAATGGTTAACCATTAAGGAAATTTCTCACAGCAAGAAAAACCTGAAATATGGCACATCATGCTGTGGCTGTGGTGCAGGAGAATTGTCTGTATTCTGTCAATCATGTTTTATTTTTTTTTTAAAGTAAATTTTATTAAATTATAAAAGTTTCCATTTCCGCCCCTCTTCCCAACACCCTCCCACTCCCCCCACTCCCTCTCCTCCTCCCTCTTCGTCCCTTAGGGCAGTCAGGGTTTCCTGCCCTGTGGGAAGTTCAAGTTCCTCCCCCCCTCCCTCCAGGTCCAGGAAGGTGAGTGTCCAAACAGACTTGATCCCCAAAATCCAGTATATGCAGAGGAAACAGGTCCCAGTATCATAGTCAATGGCTTTTCAGAAAGACTTCAGGCCAGCCACATTCAGAGAATCCGGCCAAATTCAGAGAATCTGGTTAGATCACTTCCTCGTTCAGTCCCAGTCCAACTGGCCTTGGTAAACTCTCATTAGATCCGTTCCATTGTATCAGTAGGTGATAGCATCCCTCACAGTACTGATTTCGTTTTTCATGTTCTTCCTCCTTCTGTTCCTCATTTGGACCTCGGGGGGCTCAGTCCGGTGCTCCAATGTGGGTCTCCGACTGTATCGCCGTCCTTCGCCAGATGAAGGATCTATGGTGATAAGCAAAATATACATCAGTATGGTTATGGGCCAAGGCCGATTCAGGCACCCTCTCCTCTGTCCAGAGAACAATCTGGGGGATCTCTCCTTGGACCTGGGATCCCATATATAATCAAGTCTCCTGTAAACCCTAAAATGACTCCATTAGTTGAAATATTCTTCCCTGATCCCATATTCATCCTTCCTCCCCCCCCCCATTCCAGGCCACCGAGCTTTCCCCATTCCTTCCCTACTCCCTTCTCTCTAACCCTCTCCCCTTCCATCAACCCTCCCACCCCCCCATGCACCCAAGGTTACCTGGGACTCTTGTCTATTTCCTACCTCCTGGTGGATAGGTAAATAATCTTCATCAGGTTCATCTTCTTATTTAACTTCTCTAGGATCACGAATAATAGGCTCAAAGACCTTTAATTATGGTTAGAATCCACTAATGAGTGAATACATACCGTGTTCCTCTTTTTGGGTCCGGCTTACCTCACTCAGTAAAGCATTTTCTATTTCCATCCATTTGCATGCAAAATTCAAGATGTCATTGTTTTTTACCGCTGAGTAAAACTCTAATGTGTATATGTTCCACACCTTTTTTAACCATTCTTCTATTGAGGGGCACCTAGGCTGTTTGCAGGTTCTGGCTATTACAAATAGTGCTGCTATGAACATAGTTGAACAAATGCTTTTGTAGTATGTTAGGGAATCTTTAGGGTATATTCCCAAGAGTGG